AACATTTTTTCTTGCTTAAAATTACCATAAAAGGAAAATTTTTAACAAAACGGACGTGATCAGGAGAGAGTTTTATATCAACAATATATCATGTAAAATTATATATTTATAATAATTATTTTTTTAATAATAAAGTATATACTGTATTATTTATACAATATCATTTAAGCTAATTAATCTATAAGTAAAATTACGATGAATTTTATTATTATAATATAACATTACTTAAAGGCTTTTTAAATTGAGCTTATTGTTAAAAGAAAATAAAAATAAAAATAAAATAATAATAATAATAAAATAAAAAAAAATAAAATAACAATTGATAATAAAATTGAAAAAAAATTATAAAATTTTTGAAATCCAATATATATAAAACAATCACTTTGAAATTTTCTTTAAAATTCTTCAAGAGAATAATAGCATTTGGTTATAAATAATAATAGTTAATTATTAAAAATTTTTTGTTTTTTTTTTAATACTGTAAATAAAGACATACAGTATGTTATTTCTAAAACAACCGAGTGATACACTTTTATAATCACAAAAATTAAATAATAACCATGAATCTTTAATTGTTAAAATCCATATACTGTATGTGAGTACAGTATATATACAGTAGTATATCTTATTTATTGTGTTATAAATAATCAATTTTTTAATCAATTTAATTAAATTTATTTAATCGTTGAGAGTTGTATTACTTGTTTGTATTTGGCAAATAAGGTTTGTTATGCAAAGATATTTAGATATAGAAATCAGCCGATCGACCGGCATCTTAGCTTTTTCTCTAGTTATGAATTCAATTTCAACCCGAATCAATCTTGTGATTTTAATATCGTTTCTTTTTGTACCCTTTGTTTTTCCTCAATCAAAACATCGACATAGCTTTTTTCTAGAAAATGATGCGTCGTTTTCATATGAAGATAATGTTCAAAATATAGGGGAGCGAGAAGTTCGTCTGCGAAATTTTACAGGAGTTAGAGAGTGGAAGGTTTTGGTCCCGCTTGAAGAACTTATTAAAGTCAGTTTTTACAAATTTGAAGTTTTAATTGTCTTTCAAGAATTAAAGTTGGGAAACTTTATTTAGTCAAAATCTTGGTCGTCCATGGAATTGAATAGAGAATGGAAAGTACGTGTTCAAATCGCGTCAAGAGACCAACCTTTACCATTTCCATTTGACGTTGCACCTACTTTTGGCATCCATATTGGAATTTCTGTTGGCAACGAGTCATTCGCCCAAAGGTAACTTGGTCTGTAAAATTCTTTGAATTCCCGATGTTTTAGCTTAGATAATTATTTTGTGTCTATAGTCCGGACCATAAAAACACCATTTTTTTCACGGTGTGCAAATACCTTAGTGCAATATTTGGATATCCTCATTGCGATCATGAGCGATCAGCACAACAAACGGTATTGTTATTAGTCTAGGATGAAACATTGTTTATTTTTATCTATTCGTCGATAATTTACAAGTTCGACACAATCATACAAGTTTGTTATAGATCTTGCGGAATCAATATCACTTCCTGGAGGGAATTTCTATTTCTATTCAAATTTTCCGTCGCATTATGAAATACCAGCACAAACATCAGTAATAGGAGAAATGATACATGATCAGGAATACAACATGCCTTCAGTTTTGGATCTTGAGTTGAAATTTGATGAAAAGGCAAATGAGTTCTTGGCCGAAGTAAGGCTAGTGTGGCAGTGTGAAAGCGTGAATATAGACGTCGTCAAAAAGAGCGAAGAAGAGAAGATAGAATTAGGAATTTTTGGGGATCTGCTTGATCCAGAGACTTTTATCGGAGTGAGAATTATCTTGGGAAAAAATAAAAACGAGCCAGGTATTTACATAAATACATTACATATATTGGAAAAAAGATATCCACTTGCTAATATATATTTCTGAAAGTCCCTTCGATGATAAATGTTTACCCTCGAGTACTTTCGCCGGACTCGACATTTTTCAACTCAAGCTTAATACCAAATCAAGGCTTTCATTCAACGTTCAACACTCACATCACCTTTCCAGAATCACGAGAGAATTGTGAATTATGCATCCTTTACACCTTTTTAAATTCGTTTTATGTAGACATATATCAACTTTACGATCTTTACTCAGATGATCACATTAAAGTTTGGGGAGAAACTGATCTGGAGAATCCAGTAGGAACTTCATCTCTGAAATGGGGTAGCATTATCTTAGCCAGGGAGTTTATCTTTGGAGGAAAGGAAGGTGATACGTATGGGTTTAATCTTCCATTACGTATGCGTTATTATCCGGCAGTCCCTGAGAACATTCAAAAAACACATGAGACTATCTCTGCATCTTGGCCTGTAGTATTGTATGCATGTGATGGTCTGGGAGTTGGAGAACCAGGTATTACAAATGATTTGAGCTTATACTATAACTACGGTTACCGTTACTTATGGATCTATTAATACTTTGTAAATGAAATAGCACCACTATTCGCCCCTGTGCCACTTCCACATTCCCTGCTATTTCCATCAACCACCAAACTCCAATACATACTACCAAAAGACAATTCAAGAAACTCTTGGCCGAGGGAAATGATGAGGGTACCAGTCGGACAATCGAATCACTTAAAAATTGTTGAAGGGTGGACCATATTTATTACAATGATGGGTATTGTGTGGGTGTTATTCTTGATCAAACGGAAGAGGGCCACTATGTATAATACGAAAAAGCACGAATAAAAAGGTTCAAATCATATGACTAGTTCGCGTACACCACCTTTTTTATTCTATAATTAATTTTTTTAAAAAAAGATAGTTACATGACATCAATCAGATTAATACTGTACGCAAATTTTATCACAAAGAATAACCAAACTTTGTTATTTTAATTAATTAATTATTTGTATTACTGTAACATACATACATTCACAAATATTTCTAATTAATCCTGAAATCATAAAATACAAGATACAGTATTCATTCAACATTAATCCTGTTAATGGCATGTATACTATATTCAGCATTAACGTAGACACTTCATTTCTCATGATATTCTTAGCCAATGATACATAGCATGGACATCATGCGTTTTTAATGGTCGTTGTAAATATTTATCGGAAAATATCAAAATCAAGTTCATTCAAGTATTATCCTTATTATTTATTAGATCCATGGATTGTGACAATTTACAGTATTTATTTAGAAAAAAACAATATTTATCCGTGTCATCCAGCGAATGTGATAATGTCCCACGGATTTGATGTGCGTGCGATACATTGATGTGTCTCGGTGGTTTGATTGTTAAAGAGTAGTGTGCCAAGAAACATGTGGCAAAGATTTAAGTCCATTAATGATTACTTTGAAAGTAGAACGCTATACATTCGTACGGATTAGGATTAAGCTGCAGTCATCCAAGTCGATATTAACATGCTTTTCAATATGTCGACATAGCGTGTAATTAATAATCGATACGCGTGGTATTCATCGACCGTGGATTTTCTAAAAATTTAAAGCTCGACGCTTGGTTCATTATTTATCATTATTATATTATTATTATATTATTTTTTCGGGTAATGGTGTAGCCACCACTAAATTAAATTAATTGGAAATTTCCTAGAGTGTTGGATTTGCAATGAAAACATCCAGCTGCTTTATGGCGTAATGCATCAACGGTAGCAGTAGGTGGTTTAAATATGCATCGGGGTGTATTTTTGAGAAATAACTCGGAGTGGTTAAATCGATAATTAATATGACCATATAAGGCAATCAATGTAACCGTTTGTTTGTGAGCTTTAATCCGTAAATAGAAATCTTTTAATATTCGTCACTTCTATGGGGGGAAATGTGCTTACAAATTTTTTTTTATGATTGGTATTAATTAGGCATGTTTGGTAATTCCTTCGGAGTACGAACGAATGATATGGTTAGTTTAGGCGACACAAGATGAATGATAAAGCGATAACCAAATATGCACAGAAATTGTGGTGATCTCGATGTCCCAGGTATCATAAGCTTAAATTTCCGATATTGCATTAACCTTCACGCCGCAGCGGATATTAAGAATTTCCATTTTTTGACGGCAGAATGCCAACAAAAATGTTGTGGCAAAGACACTCCAGTTCGATGTGAACATGTGATTTTGGGCGGTCGACCATTCGAAGCGTGGAACCATGCGGTTAGACTTCTTTGAGTTGTTGCCATATGTGGATCGGTCAGATGTGACAACAATTGTTAGAACCATAGTTCTGTCGATTTGGGGGGGGGGGCGCTTCTCGGCTGGGTACTATCGATTTCGATAATCTATTTCCCAAGACCTCAAACACACTAGACTTCATGAGGAAAATAAGGAGAGTTACAGGCAGGCCTTTGGTTGCGGGGTGGGAGAGTGAATTTTTAACCGGGAAATGATTAATGATGGTCGACAAGAAGATCATGTACGATGTTATTCAACGATTCTAAAATAGGAATTGACGACCGATGAAACCTGGTAGTCAGATCGTAGTGTTGTCACCGAAGTTGAGGATGTGAAAAGCAAAGGATGAGATGGCGAAAACCCTTACACGATTGAGATGGACAGACACATGAGAACAATTGAGACGGAGAAACCACATGAGAACAATTGAGACGGAGAAACCACATGATAAAAATTGAAACGGAGAAACCACATTAGAACGATTGAAACGGAGAAACCATAATGAGAACGATTGAGGCGGAGAAATCACATGAGAACGATCGAGACAGAATTACCACTTTCCGCGAATTCCATATCCGGTGTATTCAGCATACGATATACCAAAACTTCATCGAATCTTTCTGGAGAACATTTGTACTTTCCATGTAAGGATTTAACTACCTCAGGTGACAATAATAATTCTTTCGGAGTTTCCGATTTGATGTCGCGTTGCACTCATAATGATTTCTTCCTTCGTACGTGCGATTCCCGATCATTGCCATAAACAAAGAGTATCATAGGTTGTATGTGTGACACAAAGCTAATGGCATTTTTTGGTTTCATCCTTTGAGTGCATTCTTCCCACGCATAACTACAGTATATACTGTACAATAGGTTGAAGTTTCATTCTTCTCGTACAATAGTTACAATATAAGTTCAGTAGTATGCTCGGCGGAAACTCGCGCACACACACACAAAAAAAAAAAATAAAAGTGAAACAAATGTACGATCACGTTCAATCAAATCACTCGACGTTTGGTAAAATGTTGTGAAACTTGCTCCTTTAATTAACACGTAGTTAAGTGCATAACTGGATTATTTTTTTTTTTTTAGTGTTATCAGATAGCAAAAAGATTTCGGAGCAGTATTCTTTATCGCCGAATATGGGCATCGATTATAATTAATTGCCATAATAAGCAAAGCAAAAGAGTTTAAATCTGATTCATATGGCATGAGTCGAAAGATGGCGAATGCAAGTGTGGCAATCAAAGATCCAGAATGGAAGTTGAGTTATTGTTGTTATCACGATGAATCAATCATTGGGCATTTTTTGCGAATCTTTTTTTTTTTTTATTCATTTATGCGCTGCGCTCACAAGTGCCAGTACGCCAGTGTCAAATTTCTCGATCGTTATAATAACAAGCTCAAACATTTATTATTATTGTCTAAGCTTTAATTGAGTTTTTAAGGATCCTATCATTATTGTTATACTGTATGTCGTTTTGAAAGATTTACCGTACTTCAATCTTTTTTTTCTTTTTAATGAACACATATTTGTTTATGGTCAGGGGAATGGGTTTAATAGGCAAAGTGCATGCGCTGAAATTGAACTAGGATGAAAGTGAACACACTTTATGTGCGCACGATAATTATTATATAACATTGTCACCAATGATCGACTGGTCGACATTGCGCACGATAATTATTATATAACATTGTCACCAATGATCGACTGGTCGACATAACTCCGGTCTTGCTTCTATGTTTTATGTTTAGACGCGAACTTTAAATACAGTATTTTTCATGTAAGCGATTTTTGAACAAATGATATGCTATGTGAAATTGATGGGATCATTCTCTTCGGAAAAGAATTTTCAAGAATTATTAACATGAGACATCACTCCGTAAACCGTGAACATGTCGAGAAACATTTGCACACGTGTCTGTGTCGACCTTAACAGTTCACGTCTCTTCGTCTCCCATTGCTCGATTTATTTTTAACTGAAGCAGGAGAATCGACGTAAACAATAAGCAAACAATAAACCTTATTAACAATGTGAAGGAAAGATACCAAACCATGAATTTGTTTTTCGACATGACGTGTATCACAAACGAGTAAATGCGTGTCACCTTAGCCATTTTCGTTTCCTATTTGTTTGCTCTCCGTAAAACTTGAAATTTTCGAATTCGACGCACACCACTAAAAGAAAGTGCTACCTACGTATCTAATTAAATATTGTGTACGCTTTTCGCCGGTTAGCCTCATCCCTTTGACCACTCATCGAGACCCATCGAAATTCTCGCATGCAATCATTATTGCTTCTTATTTTTTAAATATAACGACGTGCTGCATCTGCACTTCTCGGTTTATTTACAGGTGAACTTTTTTTTTTTTCACACTTTTCGTTAATCCATCTCAATACTTACTTACCTTACTTGCTCTCATTTTTTTCCCATGACTTACCATTAATCTTTGATCATCGCACACTTCATCAATCGACGAATGCCCGTCTCGATCTCTCTCTCCTTCCTCAATTCATCATCCATGTTTCGACTTCTCATCTCTCATCTAGGCTTGCCAATTTCTCTATCACGAATTCCATATCACGCTTTTTTGTTTATGCAATGTATGTGTATTTGGGGTCTAATTTTAGGCCCAGGGAATTTCTGGCATGATTTTTTAAACATTTTTAATTACTCGTCCAATTAGGAAGTTGTAAGAATGCACCACGAAAATGTGTTAATAATTACGTGGTTTTTGGACGACAGAAATTTTTGCAAATGTTCCGTTCTTTGTTACAGGGTGAGACCACAACATTTCCTAATATGCGCGATCTACAAATTATCTTTAAAGGTAACAAACAAAAAGTTACAAGAATTACGATTGTCGCATCCAAGGGGAGTGATGACTAAGTATTACGTAAAAGCGCTATCGTCGCATGTCGCATGTATGTTGTTAGTGTACTACTGTATACTGTATATACTGTATATATATACATGTATATTCGAATAGACTTTAGTCTTAATATGAATAAATATCGTCAAAATTTTTTTTTAGGAAAGTAAAGCTCTTGTTCTCTTCCTCTCTTTTTTAAATTATTATTCAAATAAATAAAAAAAAAAAATCCCCCAACTGTATCATTGCCCGTTTTCCATCCCTTTTTTTCTTTCACTATTCCTTCTTCTATTCAGCATACTCTTTCACCTCTCTCTCTCCACTTAAAATTCGCTAGTGAAGAGTAGAGAGAAGAAAAAAAAAAAATTTTTTTTTTTTTTTATCAATAAATTATTGTTATTCCATCTGTCATATCAAAATTTTCCAACTTGCATACCGCTTCTTATCTATCAGCCTTCTCGACAAGGAAAAAAAACAAAAAAAAAACAAAGAATCGCTTTGGATAAATTTACACATAAATGTCTTCATCCGCTTTATTTGTAAGAGCATTATACGACTTCCACTCCACAGATGTTTCAAGCCTCTCCTTTCGGAGGGACGATATAATACAAGTCCTTACCCGACTGGAGTCTGGGTGGTGGGATGGTTTGTGTAATGGCGAGCGTGGTTGGTTTCCAAGCAATTATGTCACGGACTTGGAAAACGAGGAGGAAATTTTCGACGAGAATGATCAGGTAGGTAATAATAATGTATTACTACTTTCCTTTGGAGGTTCGGTCCGATGTTTCGGTTGTTCGATTCCAATGGCTGTGCAATTCGGGATGATAATGCGAGAGATCGGTCGGCACCGAGATCCTTTCCTTCGACTGTATGAATTTCTCATCGTGATAGTAGTAGTAACCAATGTTGGGTGTTCGAATATTGATCGCAGGTATCCGATTGGATTCCACAGCAAACTCCCGACGGTGATGTCTTCTATTACAACCAACGCACCGGTGAATCCGCCTGGGAACTACCAATAGACGACGCTGGATCCGCGAATACACGTGACTCCTCCTCAACGAACGACGGGATGCATCAAAGCATTCTCACCACCAGTTCGAGCGGTAGCACCACCGTGAAGAGTATGACCGATTCTCCTCGTTCGAGTGTGTTATCGAGGTCACGTCGGCTACCCGAGAATTGGATACAGCAACCTACCGAAGATGGTAACACCTACTATTACTATAATACCATAACAAAAGAGATTAGATGGACTTTTCCGGGTGGTGGTGATTCCACGACCACCACCACAACCTCCAGTAATTCCGAGAATGGCGATGATAAGGAGGAGGAGGAGGTCGACGATCGCGTGGTCTCGGCTAGGGTTGAAGAGGAGGTGGTTGATGGTGAGGTGGATGATGTGGAGGCGGCTGACAAGGAGAGTATCGCCAGCTCGAGGGGGAGTCGATTGAGCACAAGCACCATCGGAACCATTCAGCAAAGGCAACAAAACCAACAACAACTGTCGTCCAACGAAGGGCTTCCGCCTAATTGGGGCAAAAAAGTGACACCTCAGGGGCGTGTTTATTATTACAACAAAGTAACTGATGAGACTACCTGGAGTCTCGAAGATATTGATGGTGATGGTAATCTGGTAGGCATTTCCGTTTATTGGTCGGCGATCATTTTGCATTTCAATTCTTGTTTTGATCTTATTCACCTTTTGTCCCCTTACTTCATTCAGGTTGAAGCCGATCGCAATGCTAACCTCTCGCCTTCCAATGATCCTGGCGATGGCGAGTCACCGCACGAGATACCGCTTCCCCCCACCCCAACTGCAACGATTCCTCCTCCGCAACCGAGCATATTTTCGGAACCCTCGATTCTCATGATGCAAAATCCTAACGAAATTCTTACCTGGGAATCTTTGTCCAACACTGTGTTCGCGACAATTCACCATTTGAATTTGGCCGCAAAAGAGAATTCAAAACAGAGCTACAAACATTGCACCAATGCTATCGTCGAGAGCATTCGCATCATGCTCTATGCCTCGGGCACCGTGGAAAAGGAGTCACCGGCCATTAGACAGAATCGCAATTTAAAGATCTATCACAGGCACATCATGGCTTCCCTATCAAAGTTGGTGCTTTCCACCAAGGTTGCTTCCGGAGTGTGGCCTCCACCGGATGCTGCGCAGAAAATGAAAAGTGATGCGGACGAGGTTCTCGTGGCCGTTCGTCAATTCGTTCAAGCCGCGGAAAACACCGTGGAAATCAGGCGCGTGGATCCAAAGATCCTGGAGAGTTCAACCGGGGGTGCTTGGCGTGGTAACAATCTACCGTTGATCAAACCTCCCTCCATAAATCCTGGCGCAAATCCTCAGGAGAATGGTGGCGGCAGCTTACCCAGTTCACCCATCAATCAAAATGCACCCTCTCGTTCCCTCACCCCCGACCTGCTGGCTTCGTTGGATCACACCTCCCGCACCGCCACCAAGGCCATCACGCTGTTGCAAAATCATGTTCGCAAGTATTTGGAGACTCCCCGTGCCGCGATGCCCAACACCAGTGCGACTTTTGTTCCCCAGCTAATTTCCCAGACTCGCCAGACGGTTACGCAAGTCGGGCAGTTCTTGTCGCTCATCGAGGACATCAATCTAGAAGATTTGGACGAGACGAGTCAAGGGACAATTGACGAATTCAAAATTGCAAAGCAAGCATTGTACAATAATATCGCTGGATTGGTCATCTGTACTCAATCTGCGACCGATCATTTGGCCCCGCCTAACGCCATCGATCAAGTTCAGGTGTCCACGAGTGTCGTTGAGAAGTCGGTGAAGGATGTGATAATAGCCACAAAGTTCCTTGTGGAAGAAAAGGAGACACAGGATCAATTACGCATCAACATGCGGATTCCCAGACGTCAGAGCAGCACCGATGTTCAGCTAAACAGGCGACGCGTGAATTCAACTTACTCGTCGATCAATTCCACGAACTCAACTTTGGTTTCCCTCGATCAGATTCAAGAGGCTGGCACGAACGGTGTCATCGATGAGAATGCGGTGACGGACGAACAGCCCGTCGGCAATGGAACTCCGGCGGTCTCAAACGCCCTACAGACTGTGCCAGAGGATGATGTCATGCTCACCGATTCTTCGACCATCGCGGGTGATCAGGGCTCAAGCATAGAAGATTATGATGCACCGATGTCGCCGGTATCCGACGGTTCCTCGATGACCGGTGGTCGTTCGATGAGGAGCAGCCGTTTACGTTCCGACAGCTCGGTCTCATCGTCCGCCTTGGAAACGACACCCGCTCCGAATCATCCACCGCTCATACGTACAAATACTCAACCGATGGTCTCAACCTCATCCGAATTTTCTTCCTATTCATCGTCACCCCCTGCCTCTTACACCAGTAACGGAACTGGAAGCGCCAAATCTCCGCGTCCCGAAAACAACAAGGTTCAAAAATTCTTTGGCGAGGATGTTCCATCCACTATCGCACAAACGCACGGGCAACGTGAGGATAAACCTTCGTTCCTCAATTACGACTACGATCCATCCGAAATCATATTCAACATGGAAAGCCATGTCAAGGGAGGCACGCTTAACGCATTGGTGGAACGATTGACCATGCACGATGTGCTCGACTCAAACTTTATTGCCACCTTCTTGCTAACCTACCGATCGTTTTGTACAACGGACGAGTTCTTTGACATGCTGGTGAAACGCTTCATGATTCAACCGCCGGAGGGTTTGATCCGAGAAGAGATCGAGGTTTGGGTGGAGAAAAAGCAAACGCCCATCAGATTAAGAGTGTTCAACATTATGAAAAGTTGGTTGGAGAATTATTACATTGAGCGCGAGGATGCACATTGCTTGGAGCGCATGCGAGAATTTGTGAACACGGTCATGCACGAACACATGGCTTTCGCGGCTACCAGCTTGATCAGGGTCATTGATAAACGGGTGCGTTTTTTTTCCCTGACAAGATCACTTGTTGTAAATTGATTTTTGGAAATAGATTAACAATGTATCATTAACGCGTATGCATCATCGATTTATAATTAACTTATTGATATTAGCAACAACAAGACAAATCTCCCACCAAGGTGATGGTGGTCAATGCCGTACAGCCGCCGCCATCTATTTTGCCAAAGAATATGAAGAAGATCAAATTCTTGGAACTAGATCCATTGGAAATTGCCAGGCAGTTGACGATAATAGAGAGTACGCTTTATAATAAAATTCAACCTGTGGAATGTTTGAATAAGGCGTGGAGTAAGGAGGAAAATGTTGGCGGTGAGATCGCCGAGAACATCAAGGCCATGATCGTCAACAGTAATCAGGTAAGATGTTATTTTCGTACGGATGCAGCATGTATATGCATATATATATATATATATTGCGTATCGGTTATCACATGTTCTTAAACAACACTTCAATTCACCTCCAACCACAAAGATTACCGGATGGGTAGCCGAATCCATACTAAATCAGCCAGAAATTAAGAAACGATGTTTGTTGATAAAGCATTTTGTTGCGGTGGCCGATAAATGCCGGACTCTGAATAATTTCAATTCTCTGACGGCCATAATCTCGGGATTAAATTCTGCGCCAATTCACAGACTGAAACGAACATGGGAGATGGTGAGCGCCAGGACCATACAAACACTCGAGAACCTGAACAGGATTATGAACTCGACGAAAAATTTTTCAGATTACAGGGAGATGCTGCATAGCGTTAATCCACCTTGTGTGCCGTTTTTAGGCAAGCATGCATTCCACTTTGCGGGCAGATTGGTTTAACAGCGAGATAATTACCATTTGGCAAATTCTTTATTTACAGGTGTATATTTGACCGATCTTACGTTCATCGAAGATGGTAATCCGAATATAATCAAAAAATCACGACAACTCATCAACTTCTCGAAACGCATGAAGACCGCAGAGGTCATTCGAGAAATACAACAGTATCAATCTATGCCATACTTTTTGAATCCCGTCCGTGACATTCAAGTATTCATTCAAACACACTTGCAAGAGAGTAAAGATGTCTCAGAGTTATACAATCAAAGTTTGAACATGGAACCAAGGTAAGAACGTGATTCCCTTTTTTATTCTGTGGTTGGGAGTGGGACGTGATCACGGGATGATACGTTTGATGAGGATGGGTGAAATTTCGTATCGACGATCGCATTTTCACCGCTCACCCCACCTCCCACTCCCTCGATTAATTTTTCGAGTTCGCAAAAAACGTTCTTTGACTCTTGGTTTTTGCAATTGAAATACAAAAATTAAAACTTTACAGATTTGTTGATTCACCTGGAAAAAAATCAAAATAATGATTTTACTACTTGCATTATAGGGAACGAGAGGATGAAAAAATTGCGAGATTATTGCAAGAAAGTGGTTTCCTATAAACCTACTTTTTTCTCTTTGCGCATTCTCTCTTCCTTTCCACCCTGGATCTTCTACTACGACTACGCCACATCATCTCTCGCGCTCAAAAATAACTCTTATGCCGTGATGTCCATGAATCTTACATGATTACAGGATTTATATAAACATTTCATTGTATACTGTTGTACCTTATCATTATTTCTCGAATGGTTTTCACAACCTCTATGCGTTCATCATCCCTTATGATTTAAATTCGGAATTTCTTACCCTAAAAAAAAAAAAAAAAATACTTATGCAACCTCCCAATATGCTTTCCATAACAAAAGCTTTTTTTTTCTTATAACAATTTCTTTCTTTGAGAGAATTTTCTTTTTTTTTTAGATTGAATCAACCTAAATATTTTTAAGAAAACAATAACCCCCGTGCTCGCCACGGGTAGTTAAAGATGATTGAATGATTTCAAATTAATTTTTTGCGCTTATGCGTTCGGTTGGGTTTTCTACCATAAATTTGAAAACTCGAAACCGCAAAACGATATAAGTTTGCATCTCTTTCTTTATATATATATATTTATATAGCATTATGTAAAGCCCTATTTTACTTATATACTATATGAGAAAACATATATTATATATATATGTACATACACATCTTTTTCGTGCTATAAGGGGGTGGATTTCTTGTCTATATCCTATTCATCACACACCTTTATAGTGTTATTTGTTAGTATAGTAACAGATTTATTCAATATTTCTCTTTGTAGATTTCTGATATATATAAATAAATTATGATTTCTATCATTATTTGAATAATGTGTGAGTGTGATTGATTGTACGGAGCGTTTACTTTCGCTATAATATTTAGCTTATACCGGAGAATTTTATGGCCATGCGGAAAAAACTTTAAAAAATGGATCCTCATCGCTATTGGAAGCACGTGAGTTCGGTTTTTAATCATGTCATCTGACATTGGGATTCTTCCTCGTGGCAATGTTTTCACGACTTACAGTATCTTGTGATGACCTGAATTTTGCATAGTAATCAGCGTGTACATGGGGACACAAGAGTCGTTCCACCCTTGACTCGAATTAGAACCACAAGTCATTGTGAATGATGAATTAAAAAATATAGGATTATTTCCGTTTTAGGATGTGTGACCAACTATCCTTTAAAGTTTCAAAAGATTTAAATTTTCTATTGGATTAAATGAATTTATTAACTTCTTTCGCAATCTCATTCGGGCTCGCATATCATGGCCTTCGTAAAAAGTCATTATCAAATTCTGGAGCGATTACGGGATTTTTGTTGGGGTTTTTAACCATCGCGAATGATTGGTCAGTATTTGCAGTGATGATGTTCGTATTCTATCTTACAGGATCGAGGCTGACGAAGGTGAGCACAATTAGGACATGGTGGAGTTGTTCTCAAATCACACACATATGCTTTGATGAGAATTCAAATAATAGTATAAAGCAGAAAGGAAGAAACAACTTGAGGAAGATTACCTTGAAGGTAACTCGAACGGTATAAATTTGTTCGATGCGAAACAGCTCCGACTAAATCTTCCTTGGATTCTTAGGTGGTCAAAGAACCGCCGCACAAGTGGCATGCAATGCCTTAACAGGAGCAATTATCACCACCATCCATCAGTATTATTATGGTGGAAAATTACAATGCCTATTGGACGATCGTGGGTCGCGATTATTGTTTTACATGTGTTTGGGGTAAAAAAAAAAAGATTCTTTGCAACCTCTTGAAACGAATGAAAAAATCACTGTTCTAATTCGTTCTCGACAAAATACATCCAGGCATTATTCGACTTGCAATGGAGATACGGTAATCACGATACAACTTTGTCAGTTTCTTTGATATTCCAAGATTGAAACCGATTCGAATAAAATTTTCAGTGGGCGAGTGAACTCGGCATTCTTAACAAAGATTGGCCCATATTAATAACAACCTTCAAGAAGGTATTCGTTCGCCTACATCATTCGAGTTTTATTTCACTTCACAATTTTGATGAAATGGATCGTTTGTTTAATCCAGGTACCTCCTGGGACTAACGGAGGTGTCACTACGTTTGGTCTATTAGCTTCAGTGATGGGAGGTTTTATCATTGGTGTTTCCTCAATTATATCCATCTTTCTGGCAGGTGGATGTAACAGATTATGGGTTGAATTAATTCCAATAGCCTCGATCGCAGGACTAGTTGGGTCTTTAATTGATTCGTTATTGGGTGCGACAGTTCAACTTTCAACTTATTCTGAAAAACTACAAAAGATTACATACCACGAAACCGATGATGTTAAATTAGTGAGCGGAATTAACTTGCTGAATAATAATCAGGTGAATAATACGTACAAACACTATACACGCGGTAGAAACGTGATACGCACACCGCCTGAATTACTTATATATATAACGATTTTCATTATTTATTTCATCCCAGGTGAATTTTGTGTCTTCTCTGATAACGGCCCTATTGACAGGGTTTGTTACTGATTATGTTTTTGGATAAGTACAAATTTACCAAGATCGTATATTACCTAATTGCAAAGATTTTTTTTTTCATTATCTATAAGGATTAAGTGCTATAAACATTCAAAATATCAGTGACCAACTATTACAGTATTAATATTTTAATATGTTAGTACGCAAAATAATCGAAATAAATATACAAATGTGTCTTATATTTTTATTACACTCTAAATAAATTCCTTTGTTCCGGTATTTATGCTTCATATTTTTCAAACTGTAATTACATGAGATACCAGGAGTACTTTTATCCATGGGCAATGTGGAAAATTGTTTGTTCACATAAAATTATGGTTAATTTTTAAATGAGTTTTTTCTTAAATTTTATTATTGAAAATTAGAAGACGCGTCTCGAATTATTTACGTGATGCAAAATTTCACGCCAAACAAGCCTATCTCATGCCTTCATTCGTCCGGAGAATTTAAAGAAAATGAATTGTGAAAGTTTTAATTTGTATTATATGACCTATGAAATTGCTTGTCAACCCTAATTCTCGTTCTAACTACTCTTCTGTAATATCAACGTTGTATTTCGTGCATAACCCGAATTTTAGGGTTTCACGATTAAATTTTCTATATTAATTCTCTATTGTAAAATAATAACCAAGTTCAATTAAATAATATTAGACGAAATTTCTAATGCATTATTAATTCTTAAGATTAGTGCCATTCGTTTCCACCTATTGTGTGAATCCTATTTTCCATTCAATTTCTAGAACCACCCCGTTTAATATCTATCTTTAATTAGTTTTTATTTTTCTTTAATTTTTTCTTCTTAGCCGATTTCGATTTTTTACTGGAAGATTTGGTCGGAGATTCATTTTCGACATTCACAGTACCACTGTTGCCAGCAGTTTCAGCACCTTTACTTTTCTTTTCTTTAACCTTTTGATCAGATGACTCTATATTTTCTGAATCTTTTGAGATATTATCGCCATTATCTTCTTTAGTCGTCGTACTCTCCTTAGTCTTTTTCTTTTTCAAATTCTCTGCACCTTCTATCACTGTGGCTGATTCAGTTTCATTGGTTATATATTGATCGTTGCCGCTATTTTCACCATTGCCGCTCCATGATAAACTCGATATTGTTCCACCATTTTCCGAAAAAGAGTGCGGATGATGTAAGTGTAATTGTCGGTGGTATGTTATTGACTAGGTCATGTGAGTATTAAAGAGTGGTTTCTTTTTTTAATTGATGTACATTACGAAGATTAAGTGATTACAGTAAAAAATAAAAAATTCACCTCTGTAATATTATCGGCAACAGATTTGGATGCACCTTCGTCTTGTCCATCAAACATCTCATAATTTTGAAACTCTGCTTTCGTTTGAGCGACAAATTGCGAATCTCCCTTTTGTGGCGCATCACCGCCTTCTAACCATGGATTATCTTGACCTTCACTAATTTCTTCATACCCAGTTGGCGTTCCAAAAGTAATCGGAACATATCCACTGGTATCTAATGTTTTCTCGTTTTCCTGATGTTCAAAGTTTGAGTAAGAACCCGAATCGCCACCTATTACCTTCAAATCATCCGCTGGTGTGGATGATTCATCCAAATAATTTACACGTTTTGCCGTCGGCACAAGATCTTCATCGCTGCTATCGGAAATTCCGCCTGTTGATGTAAAACTACTGTGATGGCGATGCCCCCAAACATTGAGATCCCTATTAAAATCCTGTACGCTGACAACACCAACGGTATTGTTAGGTTGTTCTTCGTCCCCATCCGCTTGTTGATCTATCCCAACAAGGTCCTCGTCGGCAGCGACCATCGGGTTGGATGAATCGACAACTTCTTCGGCTTCATCCAATTTAGATGTGACTACCTCAGGAAGTTCCGGCGCATGATCCGGCGTATCGTTGAAGAAGTCATCTTCTAACTCTCCAGCATCAAAATTCTCGATAATCCCAATGTCGGGGGTTGTTATTTTGGGGTGCTGCGGTATTGTAGAGCTTGAAGTAGGATTTGATTCTTCATGTCCTGTTGACTCCAATAATTTCGACCATGGATAATGGTTATTTGTTTATTCAATACCGAATTCAGAATTTTTGTATTTATCATTACCAGATTCTTTTCCCTCGGACAAATCATTAAATTCTTTATCCCAAACCTCCTTGAGTTGCATTTTTTCCATTTCTAATTGATCCTTCTCCATATCCACTATTAGTACATAAAGGTATAAGAAACTATTACTTATACCCAAACAGATATGCATAAAAAATATTAAAACTGAACGCACCTGCGGCTGAGGCATGAGTTTTCTCTTGCTCGGTGGAATTGAAAACATCATCGTTGACATCCAGGGCGCTAAGTAATTTAGATAGCTCTTTCGTTTTAAAGTTAAATTGCTGTTGAAGGATGTCTCTCTGCAAGCAAAAAAACTTGTTAAACGGTAATCCGAACTAACAATCTTGGCATAACTCGAAGCATACCTGTAATTGCAAGAAAGGAACACCAAAATATTTATGAATGTAGTCTAGTCCTAATCCATTCGACATACTGGTCTCTACATAACGAATAATATTGGCCGAAGGGTGTTCGGTTGCCCTTTCGTGATTGAATTCGGATATAACTTGGTGTACTTGGGATCGAGATATTACACGCCGCACACTTGGTCATCATGAGATTGTCAGTGCAAGGATCTATTGAAATGATCTAAGGTATAATCTTTGCTCATGCATAAAATAGCTATTAAGTACCTCAGATCATTGAAGTTGCCCTATTATTGATATGTAGTATTATATTAATATTAACTTTGAAAAAAAAAATCTGCTTAAGCACATTGAATAACGATACAAACCAATAATAACACGGCAATATTGTTCGGAATTTCCTTTAATTCCTTAATTGCATAATCGAAAGTCCAACTCTTCGTCATATCAAACATCAAAATAACACCATGAGTATTACGATAAACATTGATCGTCGCTGCGTCTAGAGTAAGTTGATCTGGTGGTATTTGTGAGATCGAATGCTGGGGAGATGTCGATGTAGCTGCATAATTACGCCTCATAAGAAAACTTTCGAGCAAAATGATAACTGATCAAAGTTCACATTATACCCTGAGAATTATCGATCTTCAATCTACCGTCAGACACATTAGATTTCTTGTGGGTATCCGAGGAAATTATCTCTTTATCAACCACATCCCAAATTTCAACTTTAATAACATCTTCAGTTTGATTATAACTCCATTGTATATTGGCGACTTGAATTTGCGGAGTTGGTGTGTACTCTTCCACGAAATCATTTCCCTGCAGACGTTCAACTTGTGTGGTAGAGAAGGTGTGTTTAGAACAGATTCGATTAAGGAAATTACATATGGATAAATAATGCATGCGGTTGGTTACATAAAGTAGATTTTCCGGTTCTAATATCGCCACGTATTATAATTTTCACTAAAAAAAGAAACGAAAAAAATGGCTTGTTAATGGTCGAAAGAATATTGAATTGTGCATATTTGATTTCCAAATTTCTTGCTAAACAATTTACTGTTATACTGGATTCCTTTCCGAAAAATCCCTTTTAAGGGCTTATACTTGGCGTGAGAGGTTGGAGAAACCTCATTGTAAGAGGATCCTTTTGTTTGTTCGTTTCCCTATTGAATAATTCGACAACTAAATTTTACCGCGTAACACAAATGCCTCACAATATTTAAATCAAAGCAATTGAAGTTTAATTCTTACCATTACCAAGAAGAAGAGCAAGTTATGCTATCGAATGCTTGGAATTCCATTTAATACGTGGACAAATCATAAAAGACCATCGATAAATTTAAGCCATAATCATGTGGTTGCATAAAACATTCATTATTTATAATAACAGCTTGTTAATAAAAAAATATATATACAAAATCTAAGTAACCTATGTTTTTTTTTTTATAAACGCAAGTTTTTTAATATAAAGGTTTAGATTAGAATACCATAAATAGTTTATGGAAAAAAAAATTTTATGATTTTTAATAAAAATATATATTTTCTAACAATTATATTTTTTGAGGAATGCCTCACTTAACAAAAAAATATATATAATTATTATATTAGCAAAATAAAATTCAAAAAAATATTTTTCCGTAAACTGATCGATTTATTATTCAATTTGAATATTTCCCTATTGTATTAGTTGAAAATTATGTACCTTCAAGTTTATTGATGAGATTTCGATAATGAAAATGCGAATGTTAAATTTAATGCTAGAAGAATGTTACCATGATGAAAATATTTTAAATTGCACCGTGTAAAAAAAAAATACAAAAGTTTGCATTCGACTTATACATTTTTTCAATATTAATAAATCGTCTAAAATGCGACACGTACTGTACATTTATTGTACAAATAATGACCTCCATATTTAAATATAATTTAAAGGAATAATAATAAAAAAAAAAAACAGAATATAAACAGTGAAATGAAAGTATTGTGAATTATGGAGAACCAATTAACGGATTACCGCTCCCCTTATTACCAGGCCCGGTATCTATTAAGAAACGGTTATTGTTACCACTTTCTGATTTTGTCGAAGAACGACGACTGTGATAGTTATTAATTGTATTCTGCCAGCCTTCTACATCTAACAAATAATACTTGACACCGGTTGGCAAATCGAATGGATTAGATCCCTATATAAATGAGTCAAAAATAAATGTATGTCAAATAAAGATAACATGAATACATTAGCATTAAAAGAAACTAACATCGCTTCCCGCCAAGAATTCTGTGATATCCACAATTCGAGCAACCAGGTACGTTCTATTCAATAATTGACCGGAAATCTTATCCGTAATTTGTAAGTAGTGATTCGGGTAGTTGATGTTAAATGCAGACCAACAATTTTTGGCATTTGTATTGCGTGTAGGTAAAAAGAGAGCAAGGTCTCCCATTTTAAAACTAGAATATTGAATATATCGAATATTTAATAATAAGAATCCGAAAAAAGAAGGAAAAAGGAAAAATCGTACTTTTTGAAAGAAATTTTATCTTTTGATTCCATGTTAACTTTCTTATATTTCTCTATAATGAAGATCAGAAGTCAATAATAAGCACAAAAAGAACATCCAAGCAAAGAATATACCTTTATATAATTTGGCTTCTTTTTGATGTTTTTTAGCCAAGGCTTCAGCATCAGCAGGCATCTTCCTTATCGTGGAATGAACTTCATCAAGGTTCACCTTCGATGTTAGAGTGATTAAAGTTTCATATCGATCTTTTGGCCAGCTCTGATCATCCACATAATCGTTGGCAAAGAACTTCCCCAAGTCTTCGGCATGATAACTATCTGACAAGTTCGGTTCTGGTGATTTTATTTGACCATCTTTCTCTTCATCAGCCGTTGTAGGCTTAATGATTGATCGATTTTCCGATTTCACTGGTAAGCTAAATCCCAGATCCCTCATTAATGTTCGAATGTTGTTGTAATAATTCCATAGCCCCTTACTAAGAGAACGGGAAAATTCGGTTCGTTCTTGTAAACTTTGGCGCAACTCTGTAATGATTACATTCAAATTCGAATTCTCAAGCATAGAATTCTCCAATGACTAAACATTTAAAATAAAAAAAAATGGATTTTTTAAAATTTCGAAGTACAATATTTTCAGACTGTTTTATATCTACCTCTCTTGTCTTAACCAATTCCGTATTCAAGTATTTTGAAATATCGCAAATCTTTCGAATCATACTTATGGGATTTGAATCTGAACTCTCATCCTGAAGGATTAAAAAGGTATAAAATTTAAATGTATAATTCAGGTTCCACAACAAAAACCGTGAAATTGCATATACCTTTTTGGAATTCAAGGAATTATCGTACGCTATTACTATTGACTTGCATTCTAAGGCAATTTCAGTTATAGTTCCGACCAAATTTTCCACCTTCAAAAATATAAAGTAAGATTTATTAATTTTTATAAAAAAAATCAAGAAACCTTAAAACCTCACCTTTTCCAGAGTCTTTTTTGTTTCTGAATTATCCAACTCCACATTTCTGATCTTCTCGCGTGACTATTATTTCAATAGTAATTTTTAAATATAAAAATTATTGTACAGCATTAGAGAGGAAAGGAAACAATACCTTGCCAAGCTCAACTTGTATTTCTTCGCGTGCCGTGTTCATTTTCTCTAGTGTTTCCTTCCAGCCTTCAATTTCAGAAAGCATCTGTAAAAATAATTAAGCTAACGTCAAGCAAATAGTCATGCAATCGATTGATAAAAAAAAAAGAAGGAATCTTAACCAACATTTTTCTCATTGCTTTCACATTCCCTAATAGTCTCGTCTTTCTCTTTCCTAATTTGCTCGATCTACAATGGTTCAAAAAAGGAATTACCTTTTTCAATAAAAATAGGGAAGCTCACCAACAGATTTCGATAACATTCTGCCAATAACGAACCTGCATTTCATAGGTTTCAACTAACTTATTCTTTTCGATCAAAAAACATTCTTTTTCACTGTAGTACTCTTTTCGTAATGAATTCAATTCCAAATCTTTTTTCTCACATTCTGATTCGGCATCTCGCAATTTTTGTTTTAAATCTTTAAGTACCTCTATTTGTTCACTTTCAAGAGTGTTTGCCGAAATATTACGAAGCTCAAGCTCTTTATTAAGTTTCTCAAGTTCCGTGATCATTGCTTCCAATTCTCTACGTCGTGCAGACGATAAATCATACTCGGTCTGAAGCCTCTTGTATCTTTCAGTAATTTCAGAAGACTCATTTGTGGAACGTGATTTTGAAGCCTCCAATTCCTTTAACCTTGATTCTAAAGACACGTTCTTGTCAACGACTTCTGAATAGGATGACTGCAAATCATAATAGCTTTTTTCTAGATCAAGAACTTTTTGCTCCAGAACACCATTTTCTCTTAGAACTTTTTCGTGTGTCCTCGTCATTTCTCTATATTGAGATTCCAGTTCACTGTTACGCTTTTTCAAAGCCTCCATTTCGTGAAAAGTTTTATCATGTTCATTTGTTAGGCTTCGAAATTCCACTTTCAAATCTGACTGTTCCTTTCCTAATTTTCTCTTTTCAGTGAGTTCGACGGAATGCAATGACTCAGGAGAATAATATCGTGAATTTGATTCGAATAATTCCTGATGATCTATCGTTTTCGAAGGCTTTAAATTTGAAGTTTCTGATCCTGAAGCTGCAGCGGCCACAACTGAATTCTTCGAAGCTTTAAAATTAGTTTGCAACAGATTTTCAAGATTTTTAATTCGAGCTTCATATGCCTATAAACACGAAATAAAAAATCAATAATTTATTTTTAAATGCTTGCCAAGGAATCATAAGTATTATGAAAATACCTTAATCTTTTCCTCGGCTGCATCTAATTGTTTTATTTTTTCAACAAGCAGATCCGTACCAATTGTTACAGCGCTATCTTCAGAAAAACTTTGCCTAGAGCGCCTCGATCCTCTAGAATTTTGAGGTATTGAAGGTATACCCTTTGAGGACAGCAAACGGCCTGGTATAAAAGGTGAATCAGTATAACGATACCTTTATAAACAGTCAAGTGACTATATAATTCAATACCTTCGGTGAAACGCATACGAGACATTATGCTAGCATTATCTATGTTGGGCTTTTCAAAAAGTGCTATATAAAATATTAGAGTTCGTTAATTTAAAATATATATGTATAATAAAAAGTTCAAGATTGGAAAGCAAAAACACTAGATAATTAATAACCTACAACTCTTTTCTATAATATTTTCAAACTCGATGTTCATTCCTTCAACTTGGCCAAACAATTTTACCAAATTAGACTGCAAGGTTGACAGGGGGTCGAAGTATGATTGCTGTATTCGAACTTTTGGCGTTAACGACGAAAAGGACGATCTTATGAGGGAAGCTTGTGACATGACGGCTGGGCGTATTTGATCGATCAAGTTTAAAAACACTTTTTAAAAAAAAATAGATATGAAAATTATGAAAATTATGAAATCTAAAAGTATTTCATAAATATTATTATAGTCAATTAAAGAAAACACTACGTTGTATGTCCTCTTTAGAAAAGGAAGGTAGACGGTCATCATTCATATTCACAGCGCTTATCTCACACATAGGAGGACTATCGTCTAAGGCTAAAAAACACATTTGATTAAATTTAAGAAAATTATAATACGTATAAATAGAGAATATAGTACCTGGAATTTTTATTGGAACATATTTTTTAGTGTCCAAACGATATCTGTCGCGTCGTTTTTGCTCCATATCTCGAAATTGAGCCATGATTTCTGCTAATTGCTGTGACTTTGCGAGTAAAAGCTAAGGTAATAGAAACACAAGTGAAATTTCCATCAGATATAACAAATCATGTTCAACACAGTTTCTAATTTCAATTTTTACCCACCAGAACAATCTAATTACATACTTTAGTGTATTCTTTCCTTCTCACAATTTCAATTAGAGTCATGGCCTATTATTTACATAATTATCCAAACAATATTATATATCCAATGTCATCTACGTCAAAATGGTCATGAATGATAACGCTTGTATGCTTACATAAGCGGATGGCATTTGATGAACGTGAGCTAAAAGCTTATAATCCTGTGTTTTAGTTCGAACTTCTGATTCGAGACGACTTAGTTTACTAGGAATGGAGGCAATATTTGATTCAAGACAAGATATTTGTTGAAGATTTGATATTAACGTCGAAGTCGTAGCTTTCTAAGTTAAACCCATATTAATATCATAATAAAAATCAAAAATGAAAATAATGATGGATCTAAATAACTCACCTTGCATTTCATGAAAAAAATCACTTGTTCACGTATATAATCATCTAATTTTTTTATCTCTGTAATTATTCACTAATTATTAGAATGTAAAACATTTGAACCATGAACACACGTAATACTCTAGTTACCAGGAAAGTACTCTTTCAACTGGTAGTTTGCTAGATTTCCAATCGCCTCGATATTCTTTTCCACATCTACTTTGGACTTCAACAATTTAGCAACTTGTTCCTGTACACGTGTCACACCTAATATTTAGAACAAATTAGATAACAAAAAAAGGAGAGAATAATATTATATTTCGTGAAGTCAGGTTTACAAAATATTTGATACCTTTCTCCAATTTCTCGGCAGTTTTCTTAATTACATCACAATATGCTTTATTATGATTCAATGCCTTTTCCATTTTTGGAAAGCTAGTTAAGATACAAACATGAATACATATTAATTACTAAGAAAACTCAGAAATACAAATGAATTCAGTTAATATGTCAAGAAACACACTCGCTATCATAGGTCTTCTTCCTTAATACATCAGTACCTTGTTGAATCGACCGAATTTCATTATTCAATTCGGTAACTTCTTTGGAGAGTTGTCCTAATAAAGAAAGAGTGATATGTACATAATCCGAGAACTTTTAATAACAAAATCATTACTAATTACAAACCGAATGCCTCGACTCCTTTGTTAGCCAATGCTACCAGTTTATCTTGTGATACGAAGTCGGCCAATGAATGAGGCTCCTTATTGTTTATGACACTACTTGCGGAAAGTTGTATTTCTGGGTGTATCTTGATGCGTCTAAGAGTTTCCATATTCGCAGGAAAACTAAAATTTCGAGTTGAAATTACTTGAAAAGTCCAAATACGTAACGGTATTTCGATGGGTGGATTGAACCTACCTTTTAATTATATTTTCATATCTCGAAATCTCCTTCTCCGCATAGTTGTGAAATGAATCATAATGTTCAACAACAGAGCTACATCAAAAAAATTTTTTCTAAATAAAAGAATATTGTTTCATGTGAATAATCATTATAATTCTTACCAACAATGTTTATTAAGGTTTAACAAAGCAACCTCCAATGCCATTAGCTGCACCCTTTGTTCTTGATATAGACGTTCACAAATTTCAGAGTGTATAAGGGTCGTCTTCACGAATGACTATTAAAAATAATGTCTTGTTATTTATTTTAAATATGCTAGCAAACTCAATTTAGTCATGCTTTTTACCTGTCCTTGCGTATGATGCATTTGAAACAGATTGACATAGTTGCCAAGCTCATCGGAAATATTATAATGAGTTCCTCTTGAATTTTGTTTGGGTAATGATACTGGAAATAACAAAAAATTATTATTATTTACATAAAAAATACTCAAACAAGTAGATCGAATGCATTAAAAAATAAAATAGGAACAAAACATTCCCTTAGCATTACCATTTACAGGAGGTTCCAATGTGATATCCTCAGTAAGAGAATTTATGCTATTGATACTGTTCGAATTGTTTGGATCAAGGGAGTCCCTATTGAATAAAAAGATTATATATTCGTCCTGAATGCAACATGCAAGTAAGTAAGGAACCAAAAATCGAAATTAACATGAAAATTAGGAATTTAGATAAAATACTACCTTGCCTGAGGCCCGAACTACTTCGTTCATCATTTCTGCTTTGAGTTCTAATCCTATTTTAGTCATCAAAATTTGGGAGGATTCTGGAATTCCAGTCACCCTTTCAAGTTCTGACTTAAGACTATCCAGGCTATATTAATTAATTCAAGGTAACAAAATGAATAAAATAGATGTTTTGTTCAATCCCGATTTCATTACATGTTCTATTTTTTATAAATTCTGAATAAGGTTGATGTTCATTAAATAACTTAAAAGTACGAAATTCTCGTTTCTTTAAAAACATTTCTGCAAATTCCCATCTCTGATACAACCAATAACACGAAATAATCCCGGCAGTCGTCATACCTATCTATGGTTTTGAGAATTCCAACATGCTTTCCCGTTTCAGCGCGAAACACCTTCATTTCGACTATTTACATCAAAAAACTAACTGCAAAATTTGATTTAAAGTTCAACCGTTCGGTTGGCTACGTTTCTGCTGAAAATCGTGTGTTCCAATATAGGTTGACTATTTTCAATGAGAATGTGGTGGGAGGGCATCGAGGAAGTTCATTGTGTTTCTATTTATATTAGAGTAACGTCATAAGATGCGTCACATCTTCGAGAACTTTATGCGGCGCAGATTAAAATTGCCGATCAAAAATGGTAATTCTAGCATGTGACTTACGATATTAAAGTAAATGATTAATGAAAAGATTTGTAAGGTAATTCGTGAAAGAAACTTACGTACGCATATTTATCATATAGAAATCCTTAACAGTTAATAATTATATTATTTCTAATAATAATTATTATCGAAAAAATACTGTATATTTATAAAATTCACTTATTTATTATATTTCCTATCAAAACCTCGATTTTTTCAAAATATATTAATATACTGTATATTTTTAAAATACTTGTAAGTATATATTTTATTATAATATGTATTTTATTAATATATTTTTTTTTATAACAATTGATAATAAAATGGTCAATTTTACAAGTTTTAAAATATTTTATTAATAATATACTGTATAATATTATTTTTGTTCTAAAATATATAGATTATTAGAATTTTTTAAAAATTGTTTTTAAATAAATATGTGATTATCCTATTATCTATACTTATTTCTAAAGTATTTTATTTTAATTTATTTTTCTGTAATGTTCTTTGAATCATGATGGTATCTTGTTTATCATTTGTATTATTATTATTATTAGAATTTGATAATTTTTTATAGAAGACTATTGTTTTATAATTTTTTCTATAGCATTGTAAAATTTAATAAAATTTTTAAATTATTTTATAAAAATTCAAATTTATCTTATTTCTTAGTATTTTGAATTTCATTAAATTTTTTATAATTTGAATTATATCATTTTTGAAATTCAAAATTATTTTATATATTAATATTGCAAAGGCAATATACTTATTAAAGGTTTTTCTTTTAGGTTATACTTTTTCAAAAATTTTTATTATATAGATATCTTTATATACAATGAATGCTTTCTAAATGCACACCCCTCAGGATTATAGGAAAATTTTTGAAAAATGTGTATTTATAGAGGGTGTGTATTTATGGAGGTAATTTTATTAAAAGTTCTATGTACTTGGAACCAAGCTTGATTATGTATTTAGAGAGAGAAAATATAATAAGTGTATTTATAGAGTGTGTATTTAAGAAAGTCTCTCTATATATTGTTTTTAAAAAGTTCTTTAAAACATTTTGTAATTTTTGGCAAATTTTTTTATGTTATAGTATTAACAAAGTCAATTGCAATATTAATTTAATCTAATATTGTTTTGCCAAATACTAAAAACATTATATTCCAAATTCTTAAAACTAAAATATTATGATTTGATTAATATTGTCTTAAAAGTTATAAAAAATATATTTAATAATATTTTTTTAAAAAATAGTATAAAGATTTTTAAAATATACTATTGATAAATATATTTTATAATATATTTTTCAATATTTTCATAATAATTTATCAAAGAACTTTAAATTTTTATAACTAAAAAAATTCTTTATTTTTTATAATATTCTATATACTAATTGAAATTGATTTATTTGATATAATACTGCTTGTCAATTATTCATCAAAAAAGTATATAATTTGGCAATCAATCAAATTTATATAACTTTTTTTTTTTTTTTGAAAGAGCAAATGGCTATCGCGTTATCATTTATTATTATAATTTTAGACTTGCAGGTTACAAGATTTACAATGTAAAAAGCATGACATACATCTCTCTTTGCTAGGAAGAGTTAAATGTAGGACCTGTAAAGGCCACCCCTACGCTCCTTGGCACCATTCAAGGAATACAGTAAAAAAGAATATTTAAAACTTATATTATGGCCTTAAATGGCGTCTAGCTACCTAGAAATTAATTTGAATGCCTAATCACATGAAGGTGCTGCAGCCACTTTATACAGGTTTGCCTCCAAGTCATAAGT